TCAGCAGTGACAGCCCAGACACAAACTCCTCCATGCTGGCAGAAAATCTTACCTATGGCCAGAGCTCTGCATCTTTAGAGTTAATTTCTTAAATTCCATTTATTCTTCTAGTCCTCAAGCTCAAGTACTGTTATGGTGTTGTTATGTAATATGCAAAACCACAAGCTAGAGTCAAGGTTTGGAGAAGGGTCTTACATTTTTCTTAAAAAATTCAAAAGACCACAGTTTCTTGATCTTACCCTCATGAAAAGTCCTGTGAGGGTATGCATCCCACTCCCTTCCTCCTATTTCATCTCTCTCCTAATAATTCACCTGTGTCACTAACAAAAAGGACTGAGCTGTGGCCTCCTAAGTCCTGCTTCCAGCATCTCTGGAGCAGCTGCTTGAGGTGGTAAAGACTGGGATGGAGTGGATGGTCAAGATTCCAGAAGGGAAAGAGAAGAGTGAGGCAAAAGCTCACAGGAAATTGCACGTTTGGTTCAGCTTCATTAATACAGATAAACAAGGCTGTGCCAAAGCCTCTAATTCAATCATCTGCACTGTTAAATTGTGACAATGGCCCTTGACATGGGCTGCGCTGTGCCAGCTCTTCAGATGTTCCGTGGTATAAGAGGAGTTGATGGAAAGAAAGTGCTGAGAGGGGAGAAGGGAACAATGCCAGCAGAGAGCATTCCAGGCTGTGACAGGGATGGATCCTGACTTGTGTGAAAGGTGTGGGCTTAAGACACAGAGAATGGAGAAAAGGATGACAGTGAGGAAGAGGGGGTCATGCTTGTTATCAGATTTTGGTAACCTTTTCCTTGGGTGTCAAGAGGTGCATATCAAAGGAGGGACCAAAACGCACTTGTGCAGCAACTTGAAGTAAAGGCCAAAAAAACACTGAAGTGATGAAAAGCACCTTCCTTAAATTGTGTATTCTTCTGCTGATGTCTCTTTTTAGATGGTTGGAGATACAGGTAGCTCATACTCTTTGCTTGACAGGTCCCAAACTTGCCACTCCCAAGAAGCCCCAGTGCTGACCTCGAAAAGATCAGCATCGACACTGGGCAGGAGCATCCATTGAAATGGCAGTAACATTGCTTTCGATTTATAGCTTCCCTGCAGCCCCAGGATGAGACATGAGTGGGAGTTTCTGAAAACAGAGTGCCTCAGTTTCCCACTTAACCACCTAGGTAATCCATGACTTTGATTGTTGTCTGAAGAAAAATAACATTTATAACTTTCTGTTGTGTTTTGCGCTGTCATTCTTGTCACAGCCACTGCCAAGAGCAAAAGAAAAGGGAGAAAAAACAACCTCTTTTGAAGTGAGATATTTACAAGGATTGCTTCTATAATATTATATTGAATGAACTTCAGGTTGAGAGGGAAAATGTTTACATAAGCCTTCTACAGAAATTTCATTCAGCAGTCTCAGACTGAATTGGAAATATCGTTAGAGAACAGCTTGCAATGCCTGGGAACTGCTGCTTTTAAATATTAGGCAACAGTTTTATAGTTTACTGAAGTAAAAGACAGGAAGAATGCCTCACCAAAGTCCTACTGGGTTAGGCCCTGCAAAGAACAACGTGCCTTTAGTCCCATAAACAACAGTGCCATTTAATGAGACCTTGCTGTGCCCAGAATGTAGGCAGGGCCTCACACCTGGGCCCTCACAGGGCAGCATTTTCTGTTGAACCCAGTCTGTTATGAACGGAGCTGATATTTCAGAGTAGATTCAGTGAATACCCCAAGACTGTTAATTCTGTGAGTCAGTAAAGAACTCTGGTCCATATTGTACCAGTGTCCCTTGCTACTGGCACAGCAGAAAGCAAAGAACACATCAGATAATAATTGAGTGAATACAGATGAAAAAGTGTGCAAGGTGGGGTTTCCCTGAACTGCAAATGCCAGATTTGCAAGTCAAACTTTTGAAGTCAAGTCACTTAAATTAAAAAAATAAAACCAGGCAATAACAGTGACAAAGTCCCTGCAAGTACAATGCAGAGTACACAGGCAGCTTTAATTCTGGCAGCTCCTGACTTTGGAACACTTCAGCCTGACATTTGCAAACTGTCCATTTAAAGTATATTTGTTTGGTCAAAAATATACAGTTTCTTCTACCATTCACTTTTCAAAGGATTAATTTTAATGGAAATTCTATGGTGTTCTTCTGTGCTTGTCCTTTTCCCTGCAGAGGTGGCAGGATGCTGCCCCCTGAATGGCAGGAATAACCCTGGATGTTTAGGTCCGCAATTCCTCTGGCAGTGCGGAGCTTCTGCAGTTTTCAGTAGCTGAGAGAAGCTTATATAAAAATATTTAATATTTTTCTAAATTTAGACTGAATGACCTACACCATAATTATTTACTGTAGTCCTGCTGTGAGGGAATGGTCTGCTGGGATAAATCACATCTCTGATATAGTGGGGGAAGAGTGTTAGCTCAGACCGGCTTTTCTCTTCTTTATCCTTGAAGGTGTAAAACTTCTTAACTTAGGCATGAGGTTAGTGGGGGAAAATCCTGCTTGCTTGGACTCCCTCTTCCCAGTGCCACAGTTTCCTCAGACAGCTCCCTCAGGAAAACCAGTTTCCTCTGGGCAGTGCCTATGACTGCATTTTTGGAGTCAGTGAGGAACAACTCTTCAGAAAGATCCTGTGCAAATAATGCTCTGGTGCCATGATCTCCTGCAAACAGGAGCAAGAGAGGCTGATTTTTAGCTGTTCCTAACCCAGACAAATGGATATGTATTTTGAGTTAACGAAAAGGTGCTTCTTTAGTTTCAGAGCTTCCTCCATTAAGAACTGGACCTAGTTGTTTTATTTGTCTTTTTCTCTTTTTTTTTTTTTTCCCCAGTCTTTTTGTTTGTTTGTTTGTTTTGTTTTAGTAAGGTTTTAATAGTCTCCACATGAAATCAGAATATGGGACAATTCTTCCTTGCATTTCTCTTCTAGGACAAATAAAACCTGCAGTTTCTGCTGCAAGTTTGTCACCAGCAGAGCTGGCACCACTGGCTGTGTTTCAGATAGGAGATAGAGGGTGAAATAATTGAGTTTCAGGTTTGTGCTAGCCCTGGTTAGATGTTCACATCTGCCTTTTGTGTTTGGATTCACAACGCAGTTTCAAAGGGGTGTTACGTACGTGACATAATTATGGTTTCCCATGCCTAATCATCACTAATTAATATAACCAGAAGGTTAACTACATAATTGAGATATTATTGTTCCCATGATTTGCTTTTTAATGCACAGGAACCAGACTGATATCATCAGGGAGATAATGATTTAACTCAGCTGAGGATCCAACTGTATTTTTTTAAATGCAGGTGTATCAATTATTTCATTTTATATTGTAATTGTTTTTGGCCAGCCCATGAAGTACCTCATTATATAGATTAGTGGAAATCTTATGATAAAAAAGCACCTACAATATAATTATAGGGTAATTACGCCTTTTGTACTATAAAGTACATGTGTTCCTTAGGAGACTGGATTCACAGTGGATGTGAGAAATATTTCTTGTCATTTTTAAGACCAGACCATGAAGACCATAAGATCTTCATGGAAATAGCTTTTTGTTGCTGAATCTTTCGAGAAGATTAATCTCAATAGATGACCCACAACACATTGCAATACTGTTATCACTATTA